TTGGCTTTACAGCAAATTACATTCTCCCCCATTTTCCTTATCGCCTGCTAACTCCTATGACAATAATTAGCCATCTCTCTTGCTCTCCTACAGGGTCTAACAACCTTATCACCTCCCACCTTGAAACATCCTCCTCTACTCAGCAGGTACTAACTGCCCCATTCACTCAATTTGACTACCCAGATAATGTAATAAATTAAAGTCTGAACAATTGTTTCTAACCTGTAATTTGCTGAAGGCTGATGACTCTCAAAAAGGCCTTGTTTGCTCAGCAAGTCTCATTTTTTTCTGCGTATGTCAACTAGACTTATGAAAAAATATGGTCTTTCTCCCCAAAAGACTTGCTTCACTTGTGGTCATCATAACTATCAAAATCCTAACACAAAGAAACTTTTATATCAAGAAAAGGAGAGTTTATTATTGCAGCTACATGCTGGATTAAATATTTGCAGACCTAAAGTCTTTAGAATTGTAGACAAAGCCAACAGATATCAATGGGAAATCTGTCATTTAAATAGACTTTATTTCAAAACCTTGATTGAGGTTAACACTTAATTTGTTTCAAAACAATCCTGTTATACCATTCAGCAACAAGTAAATGGGACCTTAAAATGAATGTTATTTATATAGACTTTCTTACTATTCCACACTGCAGGTAGGATGTGAAGGAGACTCATCTGAAGATCCAGAGAGCAGACAGGAAGATAGAAGAAACCATAAAAAGCTATTTTTACAGGAACCAAATATTTATCGAATCTGAGTTCACCTGCCTTATCTAAAGAACAGCAAATTGAGTTCTCTTTTTAATGTGCATGTGCGACTCATGCTTTCATTAAATAATTGCATTTTTTTAAATAAATTCAACTTAGTCCTATAGGAAGTTGTGAAAATGTCACTAAATAGTTCCAACATTTTTTATTTATGGTTCCTATAGTCTAATTGCAGTTCAACAACTAATGAAATATAAAAAAAAGAAAGATATATCTAATTCCTGGTTCTCCAAACCCTAGTAGGGGTCTTCACAAATCACCAGCCTGATATTCATGGATATATTGACACTTGCGATAGCACTTTGGTAGAACGAGACATGTGTAGACAAGTAAATTCTTCTCAAGATGAAGGTATCTTAAATCAGCTTAATAAAATAGCATAGTTGGATTCTCTATAAAGGGAATGAATTATTAGTTTACATTCTCCTGTCACTAGGTATCTTTCCTTGCTCTTTGATGCTGGCAATTGGTTATTTCCCTGAGGCACTACAGTGACGCATTTACATGTCACCACATCTCTTGCTGTGCTGAATTGTCACTCCCAGATTCAACATGGCAGGCTGACGTAGAAATTTAAGCATATCTGAGGGCTGGCAACTTCTGCCTTACAAATATCCTGCACTCCTCTCAAGTCAGTGCAGGGTTTGCTCTGCTAAATAAAAATACAACTCCAATTCCTATTAGCCGAAGGTAATGGAAGGGAAAGGGGGATAGGGTTTTCCTCAATTTCAGTGACTATATAGGGTGGCACATTGAGAAGATCAAGCACAGCATCTTTTCATGACCTCTTCATTTCTTTTCTTCAGCTAGACAGCTTCTTATTTTGGCATCACAAATCATTGACACACAAAAAGACTTAAGACCCTGGCTACAGGTCACATTAGAGCAGTTTCTAAAGGTGCAACCTGAATCTAGCAGTAGGTAACCACTGGTGGCCAGGATACTATAGCTATTTTGGGGATGCTATAGTTATTTTTCTCTTAACTACTCCCTCAGCCAGACGTATTTAGCAATTCTCCATGGATTTATCTACCTAGAACTTGTCCCATCTCCTCCTGCATCTACATACACTCTTACCAAGCCCAAAATCCTTCAACAAGGACTTAACCATCCCAGATATCAACAGCTCAAATATCCTTCTGTGGAGGACAATTCCCCTTCTGCTTCTTGTAAATCTGGCTCCTACTAGCCTCTAACTACTTGCCCAAGAAGCACAAGTAACTGCTGTACAATTTCTCATAATGGACAGTCTGCACTTCTTTTGTGCTGAGAAGACAGCTAGTAAATAGGGCAGATCTTTAGATTATTATTTTAAAGCATTTTCTGAGGTTTCCCGAGGGTCCAGCCCTACAACCATGACAGTAGTAATTACAGAAATTTTACTTCTTATAACCTTTTGCAATTAAAACCAGTAATCGCTTTGGAAAGCAAAGAAAAGATCCCTTATCATTTCTCCACACTCAATGACCTAGGGGAGAAAAAAAACCCCACAACAGAAAAAACCCCAACATGCCATCAGGGACAGACAAAACCCCAGAGAGAAGATAGATAGCCTGTCCAAATAGATAGCGCCACCATGTAGAGAGGTTAAGTATCAGGCAATATAAAAATGGAATTCTGAAGGCAAGTTCCAGTTCAAAGAGACAGGCTGCCTCGTTATCTTGAGATGTCTTCTCAAGGGGATTTATTACAAGCCTGACAACTGCAAATGAGTTAGAGAAAAGAACAGGTGGAAGGATAATCGTAGCCACCACCCAAGAGTACAATACACAGTACAGTACTCTGTTATTGACAACCTGTAGTTTCTTCCTCTGACTTTAAATGCAGCTGATTTGGGACCATTATTTATATGGATGAGGAGCTACTTCATAAGAAGAAATCTATACCTCCAAAGCTAATGTATCATTTTCCTGCTTGTGTGAAAGATGTCAACCGTAAAAAAAAGAAAGTTGATGGGTTTGAAAACCCACAAGTTTGGCTCACTGACTGTGTCAACGTTCACGAAGGCACAGAGAATGAAGCAGAGACTGAGTGTTGAAGTCTGCCTCCCTTTTGGAGACAAAAACTACTGTCTCTGAGCATTAATGGCTTTCTAATCCCAAACTGGCCAGTTTGTCCTCAAATATCTTTTGTTAGGAGACAAAGGTATTTTGGGGACTTACAACGCAGACCCATCTCTGGTGATCTCCAGCTTGTGGGGAGAGAACACAAGTACACAACACGTTGTTGGAAGAAGTGATTCCAAGTCCCTGCTATATTTAATTTATTCTTCTGTGCTGTTCCTTTCATCACATTTCCACTCCAGACAACCTTAACAACTACAAAGACGTGAAGCAGAGAAGCTTGCAGCTCCCTGGGGATATGGATTGTTGCTTGAAAACCTCAATGAACTTTGAGTAAAACCATTTAGTGCAGAGGAAGGCTGGCAGGCAAAAGACTACATTTAGCAAGAACAAGTTATTTTGAGTAAGTAAATCGCTAAGGAGTGAGGAGGAGTGGGAGGATGCGAGAGGGAGATCAGCCTGTGAAAGCTGGAAGTATCCAAGAGTTGCTAGGGGAGATAAATAGCCGTGATGGAAAGGATGTTGGAAAACAACAGATTTACGGGGGCTGTTTCCTACAGAAGGATGTTCATCTAAGATTATGAGGCACTGTGAGTGTGGCAACCTTTCCATGCACTTTGCATACACAAGTGTCACAGACACAGCACACAGCAGCTCATAAATCTTGCAAAATGCAGTACAGCAGCCAGCCTTTGAAAACTATTGCATTAAAATCATCACTTCTGTGAGGGAGATTGAAAGATGGGGGCACATCCCCACTATCTTAAATTGACAAAAGGAGCAGGATTCCTAGACCTTCGATCTAGCATTGGCTGAATCAAGTATTGTCATAACAGAGTTTCATTGCTTGGGGCCATGTTATACCCAGCCAATACCCTTCAGAGAAAAAGTGCATTACAAAGTTTTTCTTTTCCCCTTTAGGAAGGCCTTCCCATTACCCAGCTGGCAAAACAACCAGCTGTTTAATGACCTAAGAAGCAAACCAGGGCTCTTTGCTCCCCTTAGAAAGTAAGCTGAGGGGAAGAGCAATTTAACACAGTTCGTAAGATTTGTGCCTTAGAGTCCTGAGTCAGAGCAATCAAACTTGAGGTTATTAAAGCAAAGTCTCTCAGTCCCAGGCTAGGGGAGCATCCTGGAGGCAGTCTTGACTGCCAGCAACACAATGCAGGACTTCTCACTCATCACCTTTCCATTTTCCATTTCCCTGTGTATTCAGCCTTGCCCTAGGCAGGGAAAGTGAGGGAAGGAAGGACTTCTTGTGGTCTTCTGGCTTGCTTTGTTGTAGCTTCAGTCTGTTTACACACATTACTACAAACTAGAAGATGCCACGAGAGCCAGAAGCAGTTTCACCTCCACATTCTCCAAAGACACAGTATTAGCCAAAAGGCATATATCAAAGCATGGTGCAGGAGTGAGGCACAAGCTAAACTAAGAGCTGAATTATTTAAAATTTGTCAAGGCTGCATGGGAGTGTACTGTTCCCTCTACTTAGGAAATAAAATGGTTTTTATTTTGTTCATGATATATTTAAATATATCTGTAATTTTGGAGATTATTAGGTGTGAAGTTACATTTATGTTTTATGTTAGCAGGCTGGATAAGACCGTAATTCTTTTTGCTTTACCTCAACTGTCCCACATTTAGAGACACTAGTACCAGGTGAATGGTTCTCAGAACTGCCAATACAATGAATATAAGGGGCAGCACAAAGGAAAATATTTCCAATAATAAAAGAAGAATTTATTCTTCTCTGTAATACCAACTCAAATAGCAGAATAAAATTTTGCTACTACTGTACTCCACAACAGTGATGAAGAATGGTTCAGAAAATAAGATTTTATCTGAATTAACCAGAAAAAAAAAGCATCTATGACTTCTATCATGCTGTCAAAAAGACACATTTTAATCTTGGAAAAGGAATTTAAAAGTTTCTCCAAACAAATTCTAATACACCTGGAAAGTCAGAGAAATGTATTAATTTCCACATGTGTCTTTCAATAACTCTCACCACAGCAGTCAGCACTGGCTGGTGTTAGCCTCAGCAATATCATTTTAACAAGCTAATTATGCCCATAGCTATCTAAATCTGAACTCCACTCATTCAGTGCAGCCAGCAGCACCAACAGCATGGATGTAAAGAAGGAAACCATACATTATTGTCTCTTACCACAGTATAGATCTGAGGTTTGCGCCTTTTTGCCAGGTCAATTATATTGACTCCATTGTAATAAAGGTTTTCAATGCACCCGTGGAAATTTTTCCTCTGAAAGGTTCCTGGTTTCCCTGGGACGGGAATCCCTCCGAAACTGAGCTGTTGGAAAGAATAAGAACAGTATTTAGTTATCACCCCGAAAGCAAGAGAGCAGAGTCCCACTCCATGCAGCCAGCTGGGACATTATCTAAGAACCAAGTCACATTAACGGCATCATCTCGGGGCGTGAAGCAGTGCCTGGCTGCCCAACAGGGGCACTACAGGCCACATAGCATTACAGCAGTTGGAGAAATGCTGCTGATGCAGACAGCTCACTAATTTGGAAAGAGCTTTTAAGTGCCTTGACATACCACGTCACCAACCTAGTACCACCAGCCCCCCACCCAGGAAGACCCAATGCACAAGGTAACGTTCAAATGGCCTCCAGCCCACAGCCCCCACTGGCCTGGAGACCATTTATTGCCACCCAGCAGCAGACCACGGTGGCCAGGAACCGATGAGCAATGGGGGAATAAACTCTTCCTGCCCACAGAGCACTGGGTTTGGCTGCGAGCTGGATTCGCCCCTTTCCAAGCATGTATCTGAACAGTTCTGGTTTCAGCCAGTGGAGGGTAGTATCACACACAGACTACCCCATTTGCACCTTGCAATCATTTTCCCTAAATTTCGCTGTGGTTTGGTCTTTACAGTACTCGCACATGGTATTTGGGACTGAGCAGTGTAATGGAGAAGTTCTGCAGGTTACACATTTAAACAAAACTTCTGCTGTGCTGTTGTCTAAGTACTGGAAGATGTTAGTATTGTGCAGATTAAAACTCATCGCTTAACTGGAGGGCTGAAAGCCCTGGGAGGACAAGCAGCCTAAGAAAATAAAGCTTCCAAAATCCTTGGACCATAATTACTTTAGATTCTTAAGAAAAGAAAGAAAGAAAGGAAGAAAGACAAAAAAAAAAAAAAAAACCAACAAACCACCACAACCCAAAAAACTTCTGATAATCCTATTTTTGTTTTCCAGATGACACAGCTGATTTCTAATTACCTCCACTGGCCTTTTTGGCAAAGCTTTACTGGTGGTACCACTGGGGTTTTATTCATTTTTCCCATCACAGCCAGCAGCATCATGAGTGATATCATGCAGGTGGGGATCCTGCAGTCACCACACTTCACAGTGCTTCCAGCGCATCAGGAGCTGTGCTGCAATCCTGCTGCATCCACTGCAACAAAGGCATGCACTGCTGTGCGGCACTGCTTACACACTGACAGCTGCTGGAACCTGGTCAGCTTACTCCTCTGTCATGACTCCTAACAACTCGCCTCCGCTCATCATTACAAAAATAAAGGGAAATTTGGGGGTTATTTCCCCCCCCACTCCACCCAACAAGCTGGGATACATAAGCAAATGAAACCTCCATGGATAACCTTGAAAGCACTTCTTTGAAAACAGGTCCTTAATGAACTTGCACCTCAGTTGTATTAATTGATCAGTTCAGAGAAATAAAGAGTGAACAGACTGCTACTTTACATCACTTGCAGGTTTGTTATTGGCATGAGGGCTTATGTGGTAGCAATGTTTTTTTCCAGTAAGAATCATTAGTTCTTCATTAAAACACCAGACTTTCCTTCTTTCATGTTCTATTCTTTAAGTCTCCTGCTTAGGGACTCTGTACCAGGTTTCAAAACCAGAAGAAAAATCAATATCAATTACACCACTGTATTATTAAGAAAACAGTTTTCTTTGTGATTGGTAATAATTTTAATTACCAAACTAATGGTTTTATTAGCCTCAGTAAGGCCTTTAATCCCTAAAGTGTGCTGAGATAAACTTTCAGTAGACTGCATTGCTGTAATGTTCGAGTGAAAGATTGTCTCAGTGCAAATGGAAAGAAAACATATTGTGTGAAAAACTGAGCACCAGGGGCCAGGGCTGAGTGCCACAGGGGTCACTGGTGATGCTGATTTACACCAGCTGATGATCTTCTCTACCATGCTCCCTGTTTCAGAACATCTGGAAAAACGTTCTGCAAATTACATTGAAGCCTGAGTTTTCCCTAATTGACATCAACCTTGTAGCAGGAAACAAGGAATTTTATTACATTGAAATTAGCAAAGCTGATGACTCAATCACTTGGCTTTCCTCAACCCCATCTTAAAAGTAGTTCAGCTTTGGCCCTTGCTAGTTCAGTCTGAAGCTGTTCCAGAACCTCACTGCTCAAATGTGCTGTCCTTACTAAATGTGCTCGTGATTTGGTACAGCTGTGTCAGGGGACAGGTACCGCTCTCTCTGCCCTGCTTTATGAAATGCAAAGAAGGGAATTTCAGCTGGAACATGAGAGGAGCAGAGAGCAGGCACCTGCCACTGCTGAGCCATCTGCTTTTGTCCCTTGGGTGTGCTGGGAATTGATCCTTTCCAGAGAAATGAATCCAAAGTGCAGAGGGGAAACTTGTGGTCTCTTAAGCAATGAACCATACCAGCTCAATGCATCCAAACAAGGTGATGGCTCTGACTGTGCAGGCATGACCCTGTGCCTTGTGGGCTAGCAAGACTTGGTAGACAAGCGTGTGGGGATAAAAATGAACAAGGGTAATTTGCACGCAGGTGTGCATTGGTGGGGGAACAGATGAGGAACTGCCTTGCATATGGATATGATGATATAAAGTCTTTTAAGGTATTTTTTACTATCAGTCATAAGCACTGAACTGCTGGACCGATATAAACTGCACTCTGCTACACCTTGGCCTCATCACAGGAAGCACACCAGCCTCAGGTTTTATGGGCAGGCAGGATACTTCCTCTGCTCAGTCCTTCCTTGGTTGAGCTGCTCTGGCTCCCTAGACCAGGATGCTTTGCATCACAACTCCAGATGTGAAGGGACCTGGGTCAGAGCTAGTTGTCTTGGCAGTCATGCTCGGGGTCTTCCATTCCTAGTGGGAAGATGATGGTCTTCACCCACTCATCTCTCTGTGGAGAGCAGTAATCTGAGCAAGTGGTGGCTGGATAGAGGCACAACTCAGAGCTCAACTCATGGGATATGAGCCCCATGGTCATGTCAATTAGATGCAGGGATGGTGCGCAATGATCTCATTAAAATCATATTGGAGATGATGACAAAGCACCCTTCCCTACAGCTAAGCGTGGTTGCTCCCTGAAGATTTGACTAGAACCCAGGCTATACCTTTTAGTTTAGCTCAAAGTCTGCTGTACTTTGAAGCGTAAGCATAATCCAATGCATATTTGCCCAGAGACTGGCCACTTTCTGCGACTGTCGTATATAGAGTTGCACCGACATAGTCTATGTTTGTTAACTATGAAAGGAGCTCTCTGGGAAGGAAATATCAAAAAAAGAAAAGATCTTTGCTGGAAAGAAACAGCTCATAGGGCGGTTGTTTTCCATCACATTCATTTTATACCAATTCAGCCTCATCTCCCAGGTTATAACCTAAAGGTCTTCACACACCTCATAATCAATATCCAAGTGATCCGAATCCCCCTTCGTTCGGAAATGCTGGGTGTGCTTGTCCACCGTGAAGTTCACTTGCTTGTTGAAGCGCTCTATGAGAACCGAGTGCCAGTGCTGGTCATCCAGGAGGCTGCCCAGGGTGACGGATGAGTGGCTGTTACTGAAGTGCAGGTTGGAGTCCCCTGGAGGGGCAGAGACAGGCAGAAGACACCAGAGTTAGCTCCAGGCCCTTAACTGAAGCAAGGGGAGCACAGAGCAGTGCTCCTAGATGCAAACTGGAGATCTGCCCATCAGAAACACACCCTTGTCAAAGCTTGCCTTAGATTCTTTGGGCCTCTTATTCATATATGTGTGTATATGCACATGCACACATACACGCATTCTTTTCCCCTGAAATTCTTGTGATAAACCAGGAGGTTTTCCCGATGCTGCACCCCCACATTGCAGCACGCAGGGGATTGCTGCTCTGCCTGTGCCCTTGGTTCTGCTATGCATTCAAGGCCCTGGTGCTTTAAGAGCTCCCTTCAGGTTGCACCAATCTCCTGTCTACTCACATTAACAGACCAGTCCTGACACTTCAGTTTCAACAATGTGCTTTTTGTATTTTAACAAGAAAATTGCACCTGTCCATTTTCAGAGAAAAAAAGCCACAAGTCAGTGAAGCAACAGGAACGCAAGTGTTTTGTTCAGCTCAAAAAGATCCTTAAACGTGGCCTAGATCTCCAAAAGTTTAGATCAAGAGTCATAAAAATATTTAGGCCCTAACCCTGGTGATTTCAAGCACTCTTCGGTTTTCCAGCTGGCTACATGTCTGCACACTTCAGAGCCTCTCATTGAAAGGGAGTATGTGTCCTTTTTTATATTCCAGCAGAATGGAGAGAACACATGCTCCAAAACTGTCAGGCAAGATGCAAGCAGATTCAAGAGCAGACATCAAAACCCTTGCCCATGACATATGAATGCACACAGAGGACTTGAAATGGCTAAAATCTGTACATTTGGGGCTACTGAGGAAAGAAAAAAACCCTCTTATCTCAGACTATGTATTCACAACAGCATCTCCTCTGGAAGAAGTAACATAATATATTTAACTATACCATATTATTATCCTAGTGTGAAACATTTGTAAGAGGAGGACAAATCAATGGAGTCAAACAATCCCACATTCACAGGCTTGGGATGTAGCTACTTGGTCCAAGTAACATCCAAATACCAAATCAGAAAAATGCTGCATTATCATTTCTGCTCTTTGATGAACGAACGAACGAACAAACGAACGAACGAACGAACGAAAAGAAAGAAAGAAAGAAAGAAAGAAAGAAAGAAAGAAAGAAAGAAAGAAAGAAAGAAGATACTAGTTGGAGACTAAACAATTAATGAGCTTATGTAAAAATGAAATCCAAGTGCTGTGGAAAATTGTTACTGGCACTGAAAACAAACATAATTAAGCATGAGGGGAAAAATGCAGAAAGAATTAGCTATGAATTCTGTTTTAGTACCTCCAGTTTGCTCCCACTAGTTTATGATTTCTTTTAATTCTCCAAGTCATAAACAGGGGACTGAGACACTGCACCATTGCCTGCTTTAGACAAACCGTTGCTCTAGACAAACTTCTTAAAGTGTCCTGGAATTGCTAGTCTGAGATCTGTCCCTGCTAATACTATACATTACTAGATGCTACATCTCCCATTTTTATTAAAACCAGCCTTGGCAGTCTAAGCACCATGTACATGAACTGTAAATGGCTCAGATTACTTTATTCATCAAAGTTATTAAGATTGAGAGTGGCAGTGAAAAACTTGGACCTTAATTCCCTCCCCTCCTTGCCCACACCCTCATGGTTAACAGAAGGAGGGGTTTTGTTTCAGCTTTCCATCTGGATGGGCCACTGAGACTTTCAGACCAAGTTCAATACTCAAACAGGGTAAGTGCACCTCCTGTGCTGACTGAAGTACAGCAATGCAGGCATAGGAAACTTCTGCCCAACTCAAACCACTCAGTATGAGAAACATGAGTCACCAGGGACTACTGAGGCCAGTACCATGGGTCACCCACAGATGAAGCTAATGAAGATTTTGCAGTAAGGCTGGGAGAGGGGGTATGATCACTCCTACTACAGTAGCTCCTGCCATTATCAAAGTGGTTTAGTGTATTCACCAAGAAAAAGCAAGCATCCTTCTACAGAAAGAAATTAAGATAGCCTTTCATCTGTCCCTCTGATCCAACATGATCACACAGTGATGGCCTTCCAGATATTCAGTTTTCAACTGAAACAATCTCCAGAAGCAAAGCAATACCATTGTGCACAATTGTTTTGACCAGAATGTTTTCATTTAAAATCTGTATTCTCAGCTCAGCTCTGATCACAGAATGGAAAAAATAAGACACAAACCAAAAATAAACCTTTTACACTCCAAACCAAAGCTCCTGGGAATGCTATTCTTAAAAATAATAACAATAAAAATAAAAAAGGAGGAAGGGAAAGAAACAGAATTTTTTTTTAAATCACTGCTTGAAAGCATCATCAAGCAAAGGTCAAAACTTCAGAAGCAGTCATTGAGCAGCTCAGCCTTGGTTGGCACTAGTTAGAAGAGCCAAGGTCTCTTCTTGGCTCAGCTATCATGTCCTCCATGATGTCAGTCACATCTATTCTCTTTTGCTTCCCCTCCCACCTTCTCTGACCACTGTTTAAGCTGTGAGCTGTCTGAGGCACACAGCATGTTTTGTTGATCTCAGCTGGAGTTTCTAGATACTGCCTAACATAAACAACAGATTTATAAAAGCAAACCAAGACAAATCTTGTTACAGTAACATGTGAAGCAACGATCCTAATTACCCTTACCCAGGTTGATGTGCAAGGAGAGCTTCCCTTTCTGCAGTTCCAAGGTAATGTAGTCTCCACGCTGTCCTTCTCCATGGAATAAGACTCCATCCCCCTGCATGCTCTTGAACTTCAAGGAAACCACATCTTTGAATGTGCTCATAAGCTTCTGATTGAACCTGTAGAGGAGTGAACTTCTGCCATCGAAGTCTGCAATATCTGACTCTGGGAGAAAGAAGATGGCAAAATGAAGAGGAGGGGCAGTATCAGGAGAGGGACTGTATTTTTTCAAATATTACTTGGAGCCAGGTATTCTCAGAAGTGTACATCCATAGGACGTACATGGCATCTGGGCAACCACATTTCACCCATTTCCAATCCTCTCCCTGGGGAAAGGGAACACTCGGATAAAACCAGAACTCCTCTGCACTTGTCCTCCTCTCTCATGCAAGACTGCTTTCTCACTCAACTTTTTAGAACAGAACAGGTGTCTTCCATCGTATTCAGATCTCCAGAACATCCCTCGCCACAGTTGCTGTTTGTCTCAAACACACCCAGGATGTTATTCATTACTTTGAACACTTCAGTTCTCTCTCCACTTTTTGTAGCTTCACAAGCGTCTGTCGAGCTGTTTCTGCGTGTCGCCCAGGCCTGCATCCACCTTTGCATCCAAATAAGCATCATCTTAGCCTCTGAGGGTTGGCTGCTTGTTTGTGATGGGCATTTATCAACCATGTTTCTGCATGCAAATTGACTAGGCTGGCAGGATAGTCAAATATCAATTCAAAAAGCTTTTGAAGGGATTTCATGGGAACTGGGCATCTAAACTGATTATACACCTTTGAAAATCCTATTAGAAACACATTTTCCGCTTCAGCCAGCCTCTAAAACCCAATCACTGTGATGGGAAACAAGCTTTCAATTCTTCAATTGCAATTAATATTTCCTTTGGCGGCAGCAGCCTGCTGTACTCTCTTTGCTTTATAAAGTGGTATTTTAAACAAAACGTATTTTTAATAAACTTTATTTTTAAATATATATATAACCAGAACATTTCAGGTAGCTTTAAATACTTTTAACTAATATATTGTATTCAAACATGTGACTGATATATGTAAATTCAATTCCAATTTCTATCCAAATGCAATTTGGCACAAATTATGAATAAAATATCTACTTGTAAATAATAAATCTGTCAATTGGTATTTCCTGTTGTTAAGAAAAATATTAAAAATTAAGAACACCAGACGATGAAGAATCTGAACAAGGGTTTACTAAGCTACATAACTACTTGGATACATGCACAAAGACAAAGAATACCTTCATAGTAACCAAGAAGAAAGAGCATAGACTATTTTTGTTTGCAAACCACATGTTTTCAGGATAATCCAAAGCTATCACTTTTCCATTTTCTTTTGAAAAATAACTGAAAGGTCCATATGAAAACAATCAAGACTTCCAGGTCAGCAACTGCATTGTGATTAAAGCTGGTAATTTAAGTCACCTAAGCTCCCTTGAGAGTTCTTCTATCCTTTTGAGCATTAATGGTAGTTTCATTTGCTCCTCTTTAAAAACAGAAATAAGAGGGGATGTTTTGGGTTTTTTTCCCTTTTTTTTCTTTTTTAAACTGGACCATGATTTAAAAAGGTTTGCAATTAAAAACTACTATAAGCTCAGAAAATAAAAGACCTGTTAATGATTTGTTACCATGGAAACTAGCATCGATAATTTCTACACATCAGTATGATAATTTGTACAGAAGTTTGATGGCACACTTACAAACTTGCAGGGAGCTCAAAATTTAAATTTGATGCAAAATTCTGTCACTCCAAAACTGATTCCATTCCAAATCAGAAGGTAACTGATTATTTCTTATGAGAATAAAACTACAAAGAAATTCAACCTTGGCAAAAATTCGCTCCAGAATAAACTAAGACCAACTTCCTATCTGATATCAGAATTATAACATGCTGTTTAGCATCATACGTGGAACAGTTGCTAGTTTAGGAAGTATCATTAATACAAAAGTATTCACGCCATCTGCTTTTACTGTATTATACTTCTGAATTAGGTGCTCAGAAACAGCTCCTTCAGAATTGCTGATTTCTCTCTATTGACACCTTCACTGCCAGTTTCTATAAAGGGAATTAAATTCATAGTTTAGTTCTTATAAATTTCCCCTAGGTACATTAAATACTGCAATTTGTTTAGAGTAAATTGCAAGTGTATCATAAAAATGGTTTCATTTTAACACTGCGTCCTGGTTTCGGCTGGGATAGAGTTAATTTCCTTCCTAGTAGCTGATACAGTGCTGTGTTTTGGATTTAGCATGAGGATAATGTTGATAACACACCGATGTTTTAGTTGTTGCTAAGCAGTGCTTACCCTGGTCAAGGACTTTTCAGCTTCCCATGCTCTCCCGACTGAGAAGGCTGGAGGTGCACAAGAAGCCGGGAGGGGGCACAGCCAGGACAGCTGACCC